AAGGCGCATCCTTAAGGGTTTACTGAGTAGAAGAAAAGAAGCCCAGCCCAAGAAAGGAATATGCATCCAACTGAACTACAGAATTAAAGACTTCTATTCCTTGTCTCTCTTTATTCTTTTATATGAATCAAAATGGAAAATATGCAGACTAACATAATTAAGGACCACAGTCAAATATATCTCCCTTAACTACATACAAGCATGAAAACACTACACAGAATGTCCTTTTGTATCTTTTTGATTGATACTGCTTCCTCAGGAAGACATAGAGAAAAAGGAATATTGTCAAAGTCATAACTTAGAGAAGGAAATGTGCGATCTGACCCTCGCTTCACATATAATCTAATCCCTCCCCATCCAAGAATGCCTGTTCCACATCATTTAGAAGACAATAAGGAAGGAGAGCATCAAGGTAAGGAAAGAAAAGGGCAAGATAGAAGGAAAACGGTTTCTCATAAATAAAAAGTTATTTGCTGCAGGTATTTGAGATTTTATTTTATTTTAATGCACAGATCATTGACTGGTTAAAAAAGAATATAAAATCAGCACCACTACAGTCTATATTTTAACACCATCTACTTTGACCGAACAGTGAAATTTCTGATAACATCATCATTTCTAGGGTTTTCAGTGAAAACAGGTCATTCCTTTCACATCATCATGCTCATGATCTAGCAAACTTGATGAGAAAACTCCTTAGAATATCCTAGCCCTACATAGCAAATACTTCTAAATAACTGATGCTTACTTAATCCGTCTTTTTATGGTGCCTTTTATGGGTCTGTGCTTTTTCAAGTTATTTAGTCTCTATGTCTTCTCTATGTTCAGAAGAAAAATCTACTTGGATATTCAAACCCTGGAAAACAGGGAAAGCTGAAAGACACTCTGTTCTACGTACAGAAGTACGGGACAGCAGAATATTGGCAGTGATACCCGCTTCTGCTAGCTGCATCCAGCATCCAGCCCAGACAACTGCTTACTTACAAAGTCTCAGTGACAAAACGGTGTTTCTCTGTGAGTATGAGATATATTTAATGAACTGAAATTATAGATATGTAAAAACCTGCTGCTCTTTCCCATTAAAAATCAAAGTATGCGTCACCTGTAGAACTTTTCCATGCCTCATTTTTCGTAAAAGATTGCTAGCACTTACTAAAGAAGGTAGAACTATCATCTGAATTTGTCAGTGATCTCACAGAGAGGTAAATTTTACTGTCAGATGTCTGGTTTGACTTTGGGTTTTGTTTCTGGTTTTAATATTCATACTTTGCAAGATACATATTGTTCTACTCCATGTGATATCTCACTTGTAGCACTGAACACCTGAATATACTGAAGCACTTTTATTCATTTGCTGTAATAGGTGTCTTCATTTTCTGAATATCAAACTTTTGAATAGAAATGATCCTGTCTTTCAGTATGTATTTTCATACAGTGTATGAGTTAAACCACAAGATCAAAGTTGGTCTTCATTTCAGGAGGCAACGTCAAATACGCTTGTGTCTCAGAAAAAGATGAGGATAAAATTTGCGATTTTCCAACTTGCAATAAACTGCTGTGTGTTTTCCAGTGACATTTTCTCCGATTTTCTCAAATGCTAGAAATATACAGCTGACATGCACTGCTTTCCTCAATATTCAGTACAGGACATGACTGATTCCTAGCATAAAGGAGAAGAGTTCTCATTGTCCTGTTCATTAATGAAGGACACCAAGACCCTGGTGCCCCTGAATATGCCACAAGAATGCCTGGTTTGATCTTTGAAATGTTTATAGAGTGTATATCCTTGAAAAACAGCAGCCCTAGAGATTGTTCCCCAGGAAGCATCTATTACAGTGATCATCAACTTGTTTGAGGGAACTCGTCCTTTCAACACAAACTCCAGACCTAAGGGACACTGGGGATCAAATATTTGAAACAAGTGACATTAATGGACTAAAAAAAACCAACAAAACCCAACAAAAAAAAAAGATAGATGTAGAAATACCTGGTATCTGTGGGCAGTAACTGAATAGTAACTGATACCACCAGCTCACCTCTCCAGTGTTTGTTTCATGGACAGTGATGATGATTAATACAGAGGGACACTTCACTGAGAGGCAGTTCGCTATAGTGTGTCAGAGACTATACTGAACTTCAGGTAGAGGAAACTAAATTAGAAAATAAAATAGACCGGAATTTTCTTACTTTAAGATTGGTGGGGAAGGCATCTGTCAGAAGGGCCAGAAGAGAAAATGGCTCAGAATTTTACTTCCGAGAACTTTCCGCAATTTTAGCAATGTCCTAAACTGCAGACCTATGGAGTTACATCTAGTAGAAAAGTACAGCGCAAAGACAGCCGACAGACCTGAAACAAGATCTAGAAATGAAGACAATTTGTATTGATGGGCTGATGGTTCCCCTCTGTAGATGATGATGATGTTACTTATAGCTAGCCAGTATGCTGCAAAACCTCACATGTAATGATTGAAGATAAATTGCAGAAATTTGTCCAGCAGGAAACTGAGACAGAATGATAGAACTAGCCTTTCATACCTTCTCCTCCCCTGGAAGATAACAGCCTTCCTTGTAGACTGACTGTATCAGCAGCATGGTACCTCCCTAGGCAGACTTTTAACAGGCATCACCATAACAGGCACAACACCTTGATAAAATACAGCTTCGAAATCCAAAACTTAAATAAACTGTAACGATAGGTTAAAGGCAAGCAGAGAAACAGAGATTATCGTTCTTCTCAAAGGGACACTTTTGGAAGAGAGGGTTATGGAAATTTAAGGGGAAAATGGGATTAGGAGAAAGCATGAGGAGTTATTACATGAGATAATCTTGATTTTGTGGAACTGGAATAAAACAAGAAGTAAAGTAGAAAATATTAGAAAGAATGACAAGGACAAAAAATTATGTGAGTTGACAAAGTTTTATGTGTGCTTAAAAGTTTGAAGGCAAAAAATACTGCTTGTAAGGCAAGAGTATTAGAAGGGAATAAAAAAAAAAAAAAAGCTGTTTGCGTACAGAACATACTTGCACTGTGTGACTACTGCTGTGCCAAAAAAGAATTTACAGTGATAAAGATACTTACAGCTCTCCATGTAAAGGTGGATATGCAAGTACAATCTCCTAACACAGAAGATTCAATCAACTTGGTGTATAATCGTTAGTAATCATTTTAGCAATCTGAACTGTTACCACAGAACAAAATCATCTGAACAAAACCAAATGTTAAAACAAACGCCGAAGCACACGTTTAATAGATGTATTCAAAAAGAATAAAAATATGCTACACATGTCTCAGATCTCTTCCAACAAAGATTTCTGAGCGAACAAAATGAGCCTGTGTAAATCCTAGTTTATTAAACCTGGTAGTTCTACCATAAGAACTCACACTTGTCTACTTAATTAGGCTTCAAAATCCCATACTTATATTACAATTAAAGATGCTAAACCCTGATTGAGTTGGGTGAGAAACGACCTGGAACTTGGTGAACAAAATGTAAACCTTTCCTGGGATCCAAAGGGGGTGTTAAATAGTGCTGAACGTAGACACGATGTGAAGAGGGCAGTGTGTTATGTCAAAAGTAATCTCCTGTCCTGTGACCAGTCGGTCCCTTACATCGTTGGGTTCTCCTCAGGTAAATCTGAAACTCTTGAACACGTTTTCACATTTCTGTCCGCACCTTTTGATTTGTGATGTAACAGATCACAGGAGCAATATTTCTGCTCCACCTGTAAGTGCATCCTCAAAAAAAATCTTCCTATAATGCTTCTAGATTTCAAGAAACTCACTCCTTTTTAACGTTCAGAAAACGCTACTGGGTCAGTAAACAGTATGTTAATTTCAGAAACACAAAACATTTTCTTAAAATTCATTTTTACTTGTTTATTAGGCAGAGTTTGACGGCAAACATTAAGTAACTGTAGTTCTGTGCAATAAACTCCTCATTCATTATAGAATCGATTTCTCCAAATTAGTGCACCTTTCCTTCATACAGATTTTTATACAGATGCTTATATTTTTGATAAATGTTGGCACTAAGTGTTAATTGATATGGTCAGAATAGTGAAATGGTCATAAAACAATGGAAATGGAAATAATCATGATGGAAATGGAATACTTCAAGAGGACTTTTAATCTATTTAGGTCCAACATACCCCAACAAAATTAAATAAACAATTACCCTTTGTATTTTTAGTAGAATTGTTGCTAACATTACTTAGAAGGTAACTGTTAATACTGTTAATTGCAATGTAAATGACTTCAGGAAATTATTAGAACGTTGGCTTTTTAAAAAAAAAAAAAACACCTTATATACTGATGTTTTTTGATACAAGAACTTTACTTAAGTCAAACCAAGATATTTTTAATAACAAAACAGGTTTACACTGTTCAGATACTCATCAGTAATTGATCTGATTTCAAATACTTGCTACGCACTGTGCTTTTACTCAGGTCATGTTAAATGAGCCAGTATAGGCCTATTCATGTATATATTTGTATTTCTGAATATTATATAATACTTCATAGCTAGGTTTGGGGTTTTTTTATGTAAGATTTCCATGAGATAAAATAGGTTTGGACCTCAGATGTTTGTGCCCACTATCTACGAAGCATCAAGAGATCTGGATCAAAAAATTTGTGCAAATCCCATACAATCAAATCCTGCATTTAACTACATAAATTAAAAATAATTGCATGTTCTCTCCAAGACTACAAAAAATGGCAGCTGTTAAAGGAATAAGTATTAAGTTGCTCTGAGAATTTTTCTCAGTGATACATTCTTCTTGAATCTATTCTAAACAGGTTTAGATGTTATAAAACACCTTTGATCCCAACAGATGAAGAGTCATTATTGTGTGTATTAAAATTTGTGTTTACTGCAATGCTGAGGACACAAGGTGAAGGACTGATTATTTTCTTTGGTGATCACATATGTTAATATTTTTTCAAACAGAGTTGAAACTAAAAGAAAGTCACAAGGATTTTTGTCTGTGCACATCCATACCTGAGCATTAAGGAGTTCTTCACATTTGTGAGAATGTTTTTCAATTGCTATTATATATTGTTTTTCAATAGCTGCTTCTTGCTGTTGAACTGTAGATTGTAGCAGTGCCTGCAAAAAGAAAGGACAGAATATTCAGCAAAGATATAACTGGGATGTTTTTTGGTTAACTGTAGATCTACTAATACTTGTATATTACCAGAATGTGGAATGCTGCTATAGATTTGAAATGTGCAACTATTAAAGTACCTTGCTATGTAACACTACCTTGTTTTCTGTCAGGACTAAAGTTTTTTGGATCTCAGATTTCTTATACACAGACTGCTTAAAAGAGAGCAGCACACACAAGATAGAGAGGGAGAGTATTTCTGTTACTCAGTTTAGTGGGACCACACAAGAAGAGAAGCATATGAAAGCTGCTGAAGAAGAAAAAAAAAAAAAAAAAAAAGCCAGACATATTTCCCTGGCTGACAAAACTCCACATCCTCTCGGCTCAGTGTAAGATCCCATGGGCCAAGCATGATCTTCACAACCACAAGTCAAGTAAAAGCAGATGGAAATTCTGAGTAATTTAAAACATAAAAGAACGCCCCCCCAGGAAGTTCACACTCAAATGTGAAGCAGTGGAAGTCAAAGTGTGGAAAGTCAAAGTACCAAGACAGTAACGAAAAGATGATAAAATTAGGAACTCTGTGTGTGAGCACGTGTGCATGCACACGTGCGTATTCACATGCACTTGACTGAACTCTGCCGAATTTCCAGCATCTGAACGCAAAAACAGAAATAAAAAATTTTAAGATATGTGAAAAAACAAATTACCATTGGAGGAATTACACTCAGGCTTCCTTAAACAATGACGGTATTTTAATACAGGACTTAGTTAACTCATGCTATGCAAGTCTCTTTCCCTAATATTGTAAAATATTTATGTCACTTTCCAAATATTCATAGGGCTATTTATACACAATGTAGAAAACTATTTTAAACTAGTAATCGATATAGTAAAGTAGTTGAAATTACTGTGTAAGTTAAAACAGACATAAGTTTTATAGAAAACAGACCTTTGGCCCAAATGCAGACAAAGAAAAAAAATCTCATCCTTCAAACAACCTTTATTTTAGAGATATATTTACTTCATGGAACATAACACACACATTAAACATGATTTTGAATACTGAAAAACAACCCAAAAAATGTATTAAAAAAAAAAAATCTGACAATTTTTTAATGACCATTCAAAATTTTCCACTCATTAGCCTCTTGTGCCAAAAATCAGTGTTCTTTAGTAGTGCTACAGTATGGTAGTAGTTTTCAACACAGATGCAGAGATTTAAAAGGTAAAAAAAGGTGTTTAACATATACTTTAATCAAAGTCCAAGAATACATTTACTAGTGTTTGCAAGCGATTTATCTAGCCCTAAGTTTACTTGCAAAATCCCCGATTTCTTTTCAACTAAATTTCATTCTTTTATTCATATAAATTCAAACACAAAAACTTAACTCTCAAAGAAGTGTAACTTCTGTACTATGAAAACCTACTGTGTACACATTACATATCACTGGTAAAAATTAAGTCTGTACTTTGGGGTATGGGTTTTTTTTTTTGCCTAAACTACTGTGACAAGAATTGTTTCTTTTAACTGGCACAAAAAAAAAAAAAAATTAAATTCTGATCTTAGGGAAAACAGTAACAGAACGGTCATTAAGTCGCAACGCCGTTTCTCAGATAGCTTCTTGCTCACGCCAAGGGTTGAGTCACTTTATGCACTTTGCTATGCAAACTTAACCGGCGACTGTTAAATTCCTATTAAATGGTATAAAGGACTTTCAGTTTTCCAGGAAATAATTATTATTCATTGGATGGCATGTAGAGGTTGTTAAAATTTTTTAATTTATTATGATTATTATTTTCTTTAGAAAATACACAAAATTCCACATACGGAAACAAAAACCTTCGTTTTCTATCATACGCACTATTATTGTAGTTTAAATAGTAGCACAGAACTGATCCTGTATTAGACTATTCCACTAGCTGGCTGAGTAAGGAGACAGAGAGAAAAAGCCCTCTATGCGGCAGAGTACTTCAGAGATAGCTTCCATGTTGTGCCATTTTTTTTTTTTTTTTTTTTTTTTTTTCTATGGAGACATTCAGCAGATCCTCCAGTCAAGCAGACCTTTAAAATTCCAAATAAATTATTTATTCCAAGGCCCAAATCTTTTCAAGTCGCTTAAAAGAAGATGAAGTGTGTCACATAATCACTTAAACTAGCAATAACTCCTTACTATAAAAATAAGATTTCCCCTTTCAAGAGGAATCTGAAGATTCTCAGAACCTTATGGTTATAAGATATGCTTCTAATCATTGCTGAGCTCTAATTTATTGTAAAGTGTAGAATGTTTTTATTCTTATGAGAAATTTTTTTTGCTCAGGACTGATCATAATTGTCAGCATTGTCAGATAAGGCAGTTGTATAAAACAGAAAGTCTACTCTTCTGAAGTACAAACGGTGAAGTGCCACAGAGGACTGGCATGGCTAGACGAAGGTATCTTACTCTTAATTTAGTCTTTCATTATTCTTCATTTATTGTTGAAATCATGTCCTGTATTTAAGAAATTATCAGAAATAAGACTATTTTAAAAATAAAAGCTAAAATTGACAGCTTCCTTTAATTCTAATCTAAGATGCAGTTGTTGCCTAGGGCACTGCTGTGTTCATTGCATATATCCTACATCTGCCTGGCTCCAGCTGACTATAAAACGTAAATATGAACATAAAGATGGTATAAAGCAATGTCTTTCCAAGACTAAAAAAAAAGAAAGCATAGAGTTAAAAAAAGAGGTAATTTCCTTCTCTGACTGATCACAACCACCATTTAAGGTTACTTGATGGAGTAAATACAGGAGGTACATGATATCCATCCAAAGCCTTTGCAGATTTCAAGACTGCTCATTAAAAATGCTAATTTACTATAATTAATTTACTAAACTGTAACATACATTCAGCTACTTAATGACAGACATCTCTTATACTTACGTACTTCTTCCAGTACAATGACACTAAAAGTCTTTTGACTAATTGCTAACCTGGGCAACTACTTATCAGTGCTGAAAACACTGCTTTCTTCTTTAATTAACTACACAATTATCCTGGGGGGCTGATGTTCCATAAATCTGTGGCCACTGACCTAATATCAAGCTGGCATTCCTGAAGCAGACTCCTTTTAATAGCTCTTTGAAACATTTCAAGTAGGATTACAGCAGAATGTAGCCTACGGCATCTGTTGCATGAAGTCAAAGGGCAGGATTTCAATATGGGTGCTCTTCGCAATTAATTTTTCCTTCTATATATTGTGCAATGAACTTCCTTGACTCAGGATGGCAAGGGCCATCCCGTACCAACAGCCAGTTTCAGGACTGTGATGGCAAGAGGTGTCAGTCTTGATGTAGATCTGTTTCTACACACCTATCACATTTGTTGCCTCAGTCTCCACTTGCTATGGTCATAAAGGAAGTGGTGAGTTCAGATTTTCAGATTGCTTTACATTTATCAAATAAGCTTTTTGCTTTTTGGGGGTTCCCCCCCCCCTCCTATCTCAGGACAACACAATTCACAAGCCTTAACTACATCTGCCTTTAACCAAAAGCGAGGTTGCCTTTTAGTCTTTACTAGAGCCAAATAAGCAGTTATTTTTTTTTTTTTTCAGGCAGTTACTAGATCTTCTTTTGCTATTTGTAATTTCCTCAGCTTCCAAAAATCTGCCTCCCACCCCTTACATAAGTCGTTGCATCAGGGAACGGTTTAAAGAACTGTGTTACCTTTGATAAACCATTACTTAAAGCGGTTTGCTTAAAATTCAAATACAAAGCCATGCAGAAATATAAGAATGAACTGCAGCCACTATAGTGACTATAACCATACTTCATACGTACTCAACAGTGTGATTATTTGAACTGATGCCTTTCTACTAATCAAAGACAGGCTTATGTATGAAATAATCACAGCATATTTAGGTATAAAAAAGTAAAAATAACATTTTTCCTTTGACTCCTGAAAAGAAAATTAAAAATATCACCACAGCTCCAAGTAATCAGGTAACATATATACATGGTCCTTTAACATTTCCTCCTTCCCCGTATCTTGTATTACACTTCCACCATTACTGAACTGGGACAAAAAACATTAACTGAGAAAACCAATTAATGTCTACACTGACATTGTTTTACTAGGTTTGGTTTGGTTAGAATTAATTTTCAACTTGGCATAATCTTCTTAGCTAATCAGAGCTAAAATTCAGTCAAGTTTTAAGCATCAGACTTTAATCTCTAGCTGGTTTGTCTTCTAGATCAGAAAAAGAAAATAATAGTAGGAAGTAGCACTGCGAAAATTATTAGGGGAATAAAAGGGTGCCAAATTTACACATCTATATTTGATTCTTCTGAAACCAGCATTACTTTCAAAAACTACCCTGACTTGAGGTATCTACTGGGTTTGATGTGGTCAAAATCTTGGGACAAGAATAAAATGTCTCATATTTTAACAATTAATCTAGCTTGGTATTCTCAGTTTCAGTACTGGAAAGATGATTCACAGAAGTGACAAGAAACTATCAGAGTCAGATATGGAGTAGCAAACCTTTAGGTCCCTTTCCAAAAATCTATCAGGTATCAGATAGATTACAGTCCAATTTTTTTTAAAAAAAAAAAAAAAAAAAAAGATAAATAAATCCTTACATGCTCCTCTCATTTTATCAGACTAAAACTAGTGGAATTTAACCAAAAAGAAAAATTAGGAGTCTGCACTCTACCCCAGTCCTGATTTTCCTTTCCCAGAGAACCACGAGTGATAAAGCCAAATTTTCCAAGTCCTAAAATGTCAAAGATTCGCCGATTATCGTTCTTATTCTAATATCTGTATCTCTGGATTCGTGGTAGTAAAGCAGCCTTTATGGCGTAAGGAACAACAAAATAATAGCAATTGTAGAATGTGCTAGAACCTTGTAGATCCTTTGGAGGGGGGACAGAACATGTTCTGCTGTCTGTACACACTCAATGGTTTAGTTGTATGATAAGGTAGTTTAAATGCTGTAATTCATTTGGGAGAAGTTCTATC